CTGGTCAGTGTTGGGTTCATGGTTGGACTGGTGTTGAGGTTACTGTTGAACTTGATGACTTTAGAGGTCTTCTCCAACCTTAATGATTCTGTGATTCTATTCTCTGATGGGGTTTGGGGGGTCCCATGGGAAAAGCCGTTGCCTCTCCCACCCAGCCTCACATCAGAGGGTGATGGCAGGATGGGAGAGCCAGCCTGAGGTCCTTCTCCTGTCGAGCTCACCAAAAGATGCTGCAGCCCTGGCAGACCTCAAAGCTGAGCTTCTCCTTTCATCTTCTCTTTCATCCATGGAAATAATCAGGAGACAACAAACAGCAGCTTATCCTGAGGGAATTCTGACACTTCCTGGTCATGGAGCATGGAGTTGCGATGCAGGGATGTCCCAGTGATCCAGGACCTTCATCTTCACCCACACCCAAGTGAAGGAGCCGAGACCATGCTGAGGTTTGAACCACCTTTTATTTCTCTCTCTACAGAAAGGAACTCAGCGGTACAAAGATACTTTGGCATGAGAACCAGAGAAACCTCGTCAGGAGGAGTGGAGTGGAGTTCCCCATGGGTGCCCTAGGATGAGAAAGATGAAGAGAACCAGAAGAAGTTCTCCAGAGTCATCATAAGTTTCCTCCCCGTCCCCCCAAGAGTCCTTTCTGATAGATATTTCTAGATTTCTATAGATATGATTTATAATAAATATCTTCTCTGGCATTGAACAGTATCTACAGGTCATCAAGTATTAGAAATACGTTGGTTTTCTTCTGCTCCAAGGTGAGAAAAGAAACAAACAGGTGAGTTGGGTTGTCCCCAAAGTCCCCCTGATACCACCAGGGCTGAAAGAGAAACCAGTCATGGTGTCCCCTGATGTCCCCGCTGGTGTGGGGACACCCTGTGCTATCGTTGAATGTTGTTGAGTTGGAAGGGACCCACAAGGATCATCGGATCCAACTCTTGACCAACTCTTTGGGTGCTGGTAGTGAGGAACACAGTCCTTGGGGTGATGGAGGTGCTCCCCATGGGGCTGCCCCACACATGGAGGAGGGGCAAGGAAAGAGTTTGTTCCCTTCTTTCTGTGATGGGGTGGCCGTGTTGGAGGTGACCCCTGGGATGTTCTAGACCTCAGATGGATGAAGCCCCAGGAGCATCCCCTGCTCTGGGCTCACAATGTTGGGGTGAGACAAGGTGTGGGTTGGAAGTGGACTGGTGACAACCCAGGGGTGTGAAGGAGAAGAAGGGTGAAAAAGTCTTATAATGCCCCAGGTTATTCCCCAAAAAAGCTCCTCAAGGGTCCCCAAGCTGCTGTGGGGGAGAAGGGAGATGGGGGTCCCAGGGGACCAGGCTGCCCATCCCACCTCTTGGGATGGCTCTGGGCATTCCCAGCTGGGAGAATCCTGGGGACCCCCTAAAAAAGGTTCAAATAACCCCATAAAGCTCTTGGAGAGTTGCCCATTGAGTCATGGCAGGGGTTTTCTGCAGCCTACGTGACTCAGGGCTTGTCTTCTCGGCCACAGGGTCAGGCTGATGTGTGCAACCATCAGAAAAGCTCAGTCTAAGCCCCTCTTGGCCTGATTTGCCTGTCCATCCACGCTCATCTTCACCATGGTGTCCTGGTTGGTGCCAGGAGCCACATGTCCTCCTCTCCCCATGTCCCATGAAGCCTTTGGTGCACACATGGTCACTCATCCAGCTCACGTCTGTGCCACCTCACGCAGCCTCCTCACATTCTTGGTCTACCATGGGGCTACCAAGGCTCTACGATGGGTCTACGAAGGCTCTACCATGGGTCTACCATGGGGCTACCATGAGTCCATCATGGAGCTACCATGGAACTACCATGGAGGTCATGGGGGTTTCCCAGTTGGTATCACAGAGGTATCATGGTGGGAGGTGTAGATGTTCCTCCTCTCACCCCATCAAAGTTTTTTAGAATGCTCTCCAGCTCTTCAAGTTTCACATTTTTGAGGAGTGGTTTTTGCAAAAGAAAAATAAAAAACAATTAAAAAAAAATTGCAAAAAAAATTCAAATAACAATAAATTCAAAATTCAAAGAAAATAAAACTGGCAGCTGCTTTCTTCTTCTTCTTCTTCTTCTTCTTCTTCTTCTTCTTCTTCTTCTTCTTCTTCTTCTTCTTCTTCTTCTTCTTCTTCTTCTTCTTCTTCTTCTTCTTCTTCTTTTTGCTTTGGAGAGGAGCAAGGCAGCCTTGTTGCTGCTCCTACATCCCTCTCAAGTCCTGGCAGAGGACCATGACCCCCAACCCTTCTATAGGTCCCAGCCCACCACCTCCCCTTTCCACCCAGACCCCAAGGTGGTTTCCTCCTGCCATGACCAAGTAAGGTCTGTGGAACCAAGGGGAGGTCCAAGGGATGTAGATGGGGATGGAGAAGGTCTACACGGAGCTGCGGCGTTTCATGAGCCCCTGGAAAGCTGTCAGGCTGTGGAGACCAGTGGAGACAGAGCATGGCCGACCGGCGGGCGTTGCAGAAGCATCTGTTGGAGGGAGTCTCAGGACAGCGACCAGGTGAGGAGTGACTCTGCTCCACACAGGTATCTGAGGTGGAGAGGTCCCTAGGGATGATCATAGGGATGGAATATTGCAGCTTCTCCCTGCTTTTATACCACAGGCATGAGCACATGGATTGGAAATGGAGAACCTCAGCGTAGACATTCCGAAAGCCACCACCCCCACCACCCCCCACCGCTGCTGCTGGTGTGGCTGAGGTGGTGTCCGTGGTGTGGATGGTGCTGGCTTGACCATTCCGGGTGAGCAGAGCCCGATGTTCAGCATCTCTCTTCTCATCTTCAGCGTTCATGGTCATGAAACGCAGCACCACCAGGTTGAGGAAAGCCCCGATGACTGTCAACCCTGTCAAGATGTAGACAAAGCTGAAGGCCACGTACTGTGGCTTGTTCTGGAGGGCTTCGTCCTTCTGTAGGGCCACATAGTCCCCGAAGCCAATGGTGGTGAGGGTGATGAAGCAGTAGTAGTAAGCGTGGAAGAAACTCCAGTGCTCGTAGTAGGAGAAGGCGGCTGCCCCGATGCAGAGGGTGCTGATGCAGGAGAAGAACCCAATGGTGACCATGTTGGCCATGGAGACCTCTGCCCGTCTCATGCCAAGGCACTTCTTGATACGATGGAGGAGGTACTTGACAAACGTGTTGATCCTCTCGCCCAAGCTCTGGAACATGACAAGGGTGAGGGGGATCCCCAGCAAGGCGTAGACCATGCAGAAGACCTTCCCCCCATCTGTGCTGGGGGCTGCATGGCCATAACCTGGGGAGAAAAGCCACAGAGTGGGATCAGGTTGGTGGTGTGAGGAGGGTACAAGGTGTTCAGCACCTCAAACTGCTTCCCCAACAGAGTCATTGGTGGTGGACCCCAACCCTGATGGGTGATGTCCTCACCCCCAGGCACAAGGAGTGACCACAGACGGTCTCCAACTGAAAATGAAGAGGAGGGAGCTGGAGAAGAAGGAAGGCCCTGGGCTGGTGGAGAAAGGGGATGGTGGGGGGTGATGGATGAGGTGCTGCATCCCTGGGTTGGGGTGGAGGCAGCTGGGGGATGCTTGGATGGACCTTGACTGGGGTGGGGGGATTCATGGCTTGAAAGTGGCAGAGGGGAGATGGAGTTGAGATGTGAGGAAGAAATGGTTTGGTGTGAGGGTGGTGAGACAGTGTCCCAGGTTGGGCAGAGAAGCTGTGGCTGCTCCTCCCTGGAAGTGTTCTTGGCCAGGTTGGATGAGGCTTTGAGCAACCTGGTCTAGTGGAAGGTGTCCCTGCTGCTGGCAGGGGGGTTGGGACTGGGTGAGCTTGAAGGTCCCTTCCCACCCAAACCAGTCTGGGATTCTGGGATTCCCCAACCTTGAGGTTTGGAAATTGGAGGTCACTCTTCCCTGAAGGACCCAGGATGACCCATCAGAGAGCAGCCAGGTGGAGAGACACAGGAGATGGGGAAAATGAGGATTTTTAAGGAATCGAGACAAGGGTGGCTGGGTCCTGTCTGTCACCCCAACCCCATGTCCCCCCTGTCCAGGGCTGCTGTGGGAGCTGGAGGAACATCCATGCCCAGCCCCGGGGAACCAGCTGGGTTTCAATTAATCCTCCACCTGCATGAAACCCCTGCAGACAGGACTCATCCTGCCTCTGCGCTGACAGATTGATGGATCCATCCCTGATAGATCCACCCCTGACAGATCCATCTCTGACAGATCCATCCATGACAGATCCATCCCTGACAGAGCCATCCCTGATGGATCCATCCCTGATAGATCCACCCCTGACAGATCCATCTCTGACAGATCCATCCATGACAGATCCATCCCTGACAGAGCCATCCCTGATGGATCCATCCCTGATAGATCCACCCCTGACAGATCCATCTCTGACAGATCCATCCATGACAGATCCATCCCTGACAGAGCCATCCCTGATGGATCCACCCTTGATAGAACCATCCTGGCAGATCCATCCCCAGCAGATACATCCCTGATGGATCCACCCCTGATGGATCCATCCCTGATGGATCCCTGCAGCTGGGCAGAGGCAGCCGAGCTGGTGGGACCTGGTGGTGCTGAGCTGGGGTGCTGGGATGCTGTCTCCTTCTCTTCTGCTCCTGTCCCTTTCCCTCCTCTTTTCCCCCCTCTCCCTCTCCCTCTTCCCTTTCTCTTTTCTCCTTCCCCTTTCCCACCAGTGGTGCCGACCTGGGCTGCGGTCACAGGAGCTGGAGAGCTTCACCAGTGACCGTCACTGGAGACCATCACTGAGAGCATCACTGAGAGCATCACCAGAGAGTATCACCAGTGACCATCACTGGAGAACATCACCAGAGAGTATCACCAGAGGGAAACATTGGAGAGCGAACCAGTGAGCACGGCCAGAGAGTGTCACCAGAGGGAGCATCACCGAGAGCATCACTGGAGAACATCACTGAGAGCATCACCAAGAGCATCACCAGAGCATCACCAGAGAACATCACTGAGAGCATCACCAGAGAGTATCACCGGAGATTATCACCAGTGACCATCACTGGAGAGCATCACCAGAGGGAGGCCATCACCAGAGCATCACCACTCTCATCAGTGCCGGGTGTCACCCTGCTCCTCCCCTCACTGATGGACACAGGGGCTGTTCCTTGGTGTCCCCTCCCTGCCTGCTGCTCACCATCCCCTCCCCAGCAGCAGAGGGGACATTGAGGAGATGCCACACCACCCAGGTGACCATCAGGTCCCACAACAGAGCCAGCTGGTGCATTTCACACCCCTCTGCTCCCAGGGCAGACACCGAGCCTTCACCCTGCCCTCCATCTCCTGCCTCCTCCACCACCTTCATCTCCTCCTCAATGGCCCATATCTCCCCATCCTTCCTGCACCAGCTGCTCCAGGATGGTTTTTTAGGATGTGGGTCTCCTTGTGAGCCCCATC